CGCACCCAACCCCCTAGCGCCGGGCCGCGCCGCATCGCCGAAACCCTCGCTCCTCCAGCGTCGCGCCGCCGAAGCCCCCGCCCCACCCGCGCCGCTGAAACAAAAACAAACAAAAAACCTCGAGCACCGCCCCACCAAACCAAAAAAAACCCCAAAAACCCCGAGCGCCCCCGCCACCCCAAGATTGGCCGCCCCTTCCAAGTTGCCACCCCAAGCATGTGCTTGGTTGGCTGGTGCCTGGAGCTGGCCCTGAAAACCAGCATGGTCACAGTTCATGAGAGTTTGCCCAATCTCATCCTTTGCTAACACAGAATAAAATGCATATTTGTGTGAATACATTGATGGAGCTCCCATGGGACACACAGGGCAAAATTAATCACTGGTGTAACTTCTTTGACTTCAGTGGAGTTGCACCAAGGACAGTTTTTGTCCACACAGGAGACCATGCAGCAGATCCTCTGCTAATCTAAATTGTCATAGCTTCGTTGAAGTCAAGGACTGTTGAAGCTAAGGATCTGGGCCCTAAAGCTTAGCAAAGTTAGCTTTTTTCAAGTATGCTTCCTAGTTCTGTCTTAGTAGGGTTAGATTAATCAGCTATTTCCTTTTGCAGCAGGACTTGCCCAGTAAGATTAAGTAAATAAATAATAAACAAAATCATATAAGATCCTGCCATGTTTACATAACATTGGAGCTTTGACGTTGTAAAGGGGCGTTCTGTCAAGTACAAGCAGGATGGCAGTGTTTTTTAAAATGAAGGCAATTCTGCCTGAACATTTGTAACTCACTTGGGCAGGGATCGGTTTTAGTATAATTGGCGTTCCGCATAATTAAGACTGTCCAAGTCCTATTTCTGTGAGCTGAATAGCAAATGGAGATGATTACAGTTTCTCCCCAAGAACATAAAAATCCTGCAACTCCAACTGAAGCCAATATGAATGCGTGTTTAACATTTACAGTAGTTCTCATTAGCAGTAATATCTAGTTTTTGGTAATGTTGTTGAGAATTGTAATAGAACCATCATAGAGCTTTGGAACCAAAGTAATATTACCCCCAAATCCTCCTGAGGACTAAATTAACAGGCATTTCTATCAGCAGATGGCCCAAATAGAAATGCATCTATGCATCTGTGATCCGCGTCGACCCACCTACCCGTTAGGGGGCGGTGGGGAGCTATGAGGTCACGGGCCGGCCTGGGTCACGCCTCCGTCAGCGGGGAATTAGCGGCCGGGCGGCCGCCAGCCAGAGTCTATAGCGCGCCCCTCAGGCAGGGGAGCGCCGGCAAAGGTCAGTAGCGCGCCCCTCAGGCAGGGGAGCGCCGGCAAAGGTCAGTAGCGCGCCCCTCAGGCAGGGGAGCGCCGGCAAAGGTCAGTAGCGCGCCCCTCAGGCAGGGGAGCGCCGGCTAAGGTCCCGGCGTGGCTCGGCCGGTTAGGGGAACGCAGGCCCACCCTACACCACTGCGTTCCAGCCCAGAGCCCTGACAGTGGCAGGACGAGGGTCCCGCCACTGGATCAGCGGCGTCCTTCCGCAATACAGACTCACCACTGTGCAACTCTGTCCCTGGGCTACTTCCTACCCGATTGCTCGTCCGAATCCCTCTGGTCCCGCCGGTGCATCGGGGTAGTCCGCTGCTGGCAGCTCCAGCTCCCCCTCAGGCTCAGGCTCCTCCAGCTCCTCTGGGTACTCGGCTGCTGGCAGCTCCAGCTCCCCCTCCGGCTCCTCCAGTTCCTCGGGGTACTCGGCAGTGGGCAGTCCTGGCAGCCCCAGTCCGTCCTCCAGGTGAGGTCTCCACTGGTCCAGGGCCTCCCCAGGCGTGGCAGCAGCGTCTGAAGGGAGCAGCCCACGGTCTGCGTCTGCCTCCCTCCCTGGTGCTCCCCTGACTGAGCTAAGGGCCCCGCCCTTTATACTTCCTGTTCCACCCCTCCCCTTCCGGGGGGTGGAGCGAGCTTGGGCTGGCCCCGCCCACTCAGGCTGAGGGAAAGGCCCTTTACCCTCAAGTTCGGAGGGCAGCCACCCTGGCCCCCTACAGCATCTTACATGGCTTTGATTACTGCAGGAGTGGAACACCTTACAAATTTGTAAGGTATTTATCCTTGCAGCACCCTTGTGAGGTAGGGCAGTGCTATTGTCCCCATGTAACAGGTGCGGAACTGAGGCACTGAGAGACAAAATGACTAGTACCAGGTCTCCCAAGTCCTAAGCACTTGGCCTTGCTTCCTCTCTGCAGTATTTAAATAATTCCATTTATGAGCTGCCATTCCACTGAACTGCCTGACAGGAAGCAGTAACACCAAGGAAATATCCTTGCTAACTCCCAGCATTGGCCTGGTCATGCATAGTGTGACAACATTCACTAATGAAAGTTTCAGACAGGGTTGTCACCTCTGATATACAAAAAACTGGGACATCTGGAATGATCCTGAGCCCATGAATCAGGCAGCTGGCAGTGTATACTGAGTACGGTTATGGATTTCTGAGGACCGCTACCACAAAAAAGGGGTGATCTTGGGAAAACACAAACAAGCGTCAGCCCTAACCCCAAGCCCTATTTCTAACCCTATCCAGGCCACCTTACTCATTGTGAAGTTCTGCCTAAGAGAAGCAAGGCTTGGGTTCAAAATATGCCTGGACACTTTTGCATTTAGATAAATCACTCATATTATCTAGGTATAGTCCTTGCCAATAGGGTGGGTTGAAAATTTTCCATCCAAGCTGTTCAATAAAACACAAATTGCCACAGAAAAGTTTGAGGTTCTGTCAGACTTTTCAGCCAAACATTGAAAATGTTTTAACAAAAACTGAAAACTATTGGGGCAGGGACTGTCTCTGATTATGTGTTTAGGGCGTGCCTAGCACAGTGGAGGCCTGATCTCAATTGAGGCCTCTAAAAGTATATACCACTTTTATTAAAGCACTTTAATTAAACCACTGTTGCCTGTCCACACTGCTCCTTGTGTTGATGAAGTGCATCCACGCTAGCAGCTCTTGCAACGACCGAGAGCAGTGCACTGTGGGTAGCTATCCCACTGTGCAACTGGCTGCAGGGTGGTGTGGGAAGGGTTTGCAATGCCTCATAGGGCAGGTACAGCATCACATGATGCAGGTTTCTCCATCCCATCATTCCATGGGCATCCTACTAGATTGCCAGTCACTTTCCAGCTGAAGTGTAGGGGGGAGAGTGTGAGACTGGGCACGTGTGTGTATGGGGTGAGGGGAAGAGACAGACAGTGTGTGTTGGGGGAGAGTGAGTGTGTCGGCATGCTGTCTCCTAAATTCAGCCAGCCAGCTGAAAGCAACCTGTCCTGGGGGAGGGGGAAACCCTGACATCAGCCCCCACCTCCATCCCTGGCTCTGCACAGAGTGTCTGTCTGTCTGTGTCTCTCTGTCTCTGTTTCTCTCTCTCTAACACACATACATCCACCCCTGCCTGCCTCTGTGTTCTTAGTGTGGGAGACAGCAGGAGCATTCCAGCCACATTAAAGATTTGCTCTGTTTCTCAGAGCAGCACAGCATGCAGGCTGTCAGAATGGAGCTTTGAAACGGGAGGGGCACAGTCACTGGAGGCATTGTTGGACATCTCTGGAGGCCATTTACAGCGATAAAAGCAAGCAAGGTGTTTACACTGGCACTTTGGCGATAAAATATTTGCGCAAAAAGCCTTATCACTCTTATCACGGTGGTTTTATTACAGCACTGCAACTGAGGAGTTTCGTCACAAAAAGTGGCTTTGCAGTATGTACACCTCTGCTGTTTCATCACCAAAAGTTGCCTTTTGGCAAAAAAAATTGGCAGTGTAGACCATCCGATGCTACCGTAACACCAATAATAATAAAAAGTAATTGTAGGGCACTGTTTGCCTCAGGTGAGATTTTTGTGGTCTCTAGGCACTTCTGTAATGCTCATATTAATAATTTAACAGGATTGAAAGCCCTGCTTGCCCCAGTGATTTAAAATCTATCCCTCCTCTCCCATTACAGGGGTTGATGTTTGGCTATGCAACAGATGAGACAGAAGAATGTATGCCTCTCACTATTGTCCTCGCTCACAAATTGAACAGCAAGTTAGCAGAGCTGAGACACAGTGGTGATCTCCCTTGGCTTAGACCCGACTCTAAGACACAGGTAAATATTGCTTTCACTCAGCGTGTCCCTCTGCTAAATACAAGAGCCATGGAAAGAATCCTTTCAAGTCCTGATCGCTTGCAGGCTATTAACTATCTGTCTGGTTCAGTAAAGCCACTGTTTTACTCAGAAAATCCTGGATTTCTTTTTCCAATATTTAATTACTACTATTTGTTCAGTTCAGAATGTCGTTTTAAATGGATAATCCAGGATTTCCACATTATAACATACAGTCTGACTTCAGCTTGCTACTGATTGTATGCTGAGCAGAGGAACTGCTTTATATGCAATCTCCTGAGTGTCGCAAAAACTGTTAGTATGCACCTGGATGTTTGACACATGACACTGCATAGCATTGAAGAAATATTTAACTCTTGAGTACCAGGAGCTGGGTGTTCCCTGCTGCCTGAAAACGTGTCAGGAAATCTAAAGGGCAAATCTGATTCATCAGTGCCTACAAATTAAGGCTGTAGTTTTCACTGAAGGATTTAAATTTCAATGGGATTTGAGAGTCTAATTGATTTAGGCTCCTTTGAAAATCCCAGTCTTAGTATGTATTGCTAAGGGTGTCACTGGAGAGTGCATGGTGCATAGAAGTAAAATATTTGCTTTGTACATGAGCCTTCTGAATTTGGGTCACCAATGTATTTAGCAAACATGAAAACCATACACTTCATTCCTCACACCCATTAAACAATTATCTCCTCATACTTTGTTGCCGCAGGCACCTTCCTGTGCATCTGCTAGTGTACTGCCTGGTGTGGTGTATCTGTACAATACGGTAATGTATCATACAGCTGTTTCTTTTACCCCCTCGTTCATATTCAGGTCACTGTTCAGTATACCCAGAAAAATGGAGCCGTCATCCCAGTCCGTGTTCACACCATTGTGATATCTGTGCAGCATGATGAAACCATCTCGCTGGAGTACATGCGCAAAACCCTGAGAGACTGTGTGATTAAACCTGTCGTTCCTGCCAAATACTTGGATGAGAAAACAATTTACCACCTTCAGCCCAGTGGGCGTTTTGTCATTGGGGGGCCACAGGTGTGTGTTTAGTTATTCTTTTGATCCTTCTGCCAATTTTCCTTTTCCCATCATAGTGTGCTACAGATTAACTTGTGTCCTCAGCCTGTATTTCTAACAAAAGGGCACAGACTAAACACCTGTTCAGAGACCAGTCCTGCACCATTGGAGCCAATAGGAGTATCACCACTAATTTCCATGGGAGCCAGACCAAGGCCTTAATGCACTGGATTCCAAAGAAACCTCTGAAGGCATGGTTATGTCATATACATATAAGCAAGTTGGGCCAAGTCCTACTTTGCGTATTCAGTGTCCAGCCCTGTAAGGTGCTGGGCATCCTCAAATCCCATTGAGTTTAGCATCTCACAAGATCAGGTCCTCAATCTTTTCTCAGCCAAAACACTCAGTGAAGTAAATGGGACAGCCAAACATTTCAAAGCTGTTGCTTTTCAGAGGTGCTCAGCACACACAACGCTAGTTGAAATCAATGAGAGATGTGGGTGCTTAGCATCTCTGAAAATCAGACTATAGCCGGGTTTGTCCAAGAGGAGAACGGGAGGGAGAGTTTTGCCTGGTTAAGGCTTAGGAGCCAGGATTTAGAGCTTGATGTGGCATTCATCGAAGTCAATGGCAAAATTCCCATTGACTTCACTGCTGCAGGACCAGGCCTTTAGTCCAGATTTTGTGAAAAACATCCTCCTTGGCCATTGTTTGTTCCGCTTCCCCCTACAATGCTTCCTTACATAACTAGGCCAGCACCATATCCTCTTACCAGGAGCACTCCTGACTGTAGGGCCAATTTTCTGTCTATCCTAAACAGATGGTCAGACCTTAACAAGCACCATCAGTACTGACAAATATTGGCCAGTGGGAATATCTGTTTTATTTGGTCATTAATATACATAATAATCATAAACTTAAAATGACTAAGAACCCTCAAGTCATGTGCATAACTAGTTTAGATAGCCTCTTCCTCCTTCCCCAATTATCTCTGTTACTCCCATTTGTTGCATCTCATCTTAAATTAGACTGTGAACTCCTTGGGGCAAGGACTGGGTTTTCCTGTATATCTGTACAGCACCCAGGATAATGTAAACTCAGGCCTGACAGACTTATGGGTGCTGCCATGGCACAAATTACACTGCTCTACAGCCAAAATGCTTCTGAAATAAATGTAGTCAAACTTTACTAATTCTGGGTCACTGAGAACGAAAATTATGCTTAAAATTGTTG